ATCAAGGAAGTTAAGTACGTGTGCTCTAGAACCAGACTACCCGGGGTCCAAAGCTCAGCTTTCAGCTTTGACCTGAAGAACTGTGTGAATCCCTGAATATTTCTTGGCCCCCTTCTACTTCAGCTCTGAGATCAGATATTAATGCTTGCCTCACACAATTGTTTTGAGGGTTAAGTGAGTTACTACATGTCATAAGGCCCTTAAATAAGAACCTGGCATACCCTAAGTATTCCGTAAATGAATCATAAGAATCAATAAAACCCAGCAAAAGCCATGTTTGGTTAAATTGGTCATGAAACCAAATATTTTTTCTTCAATCTAGATTTCAAGACCCTCTTTCGCTAGAGAGATAAATCACTTAATATATGCTTGTCCTAGTCTTACAAGCCTGATGACCTGAGTTTGATAAACCCACATTAAAAAAGCAAGGTGTGGCAATATAGGCTTAGAATCCCAGCTCTGGGGATAGGGAGACATATGCATTCCTGGAGATTGATGGCCTGCCAGCCTAGCCTAGTTAGTGAACTGCAGGCCAGTGGGAGCCCACTATCCTGGCAATAACATCAATAAACAAGGTGGGTAGCTCCTGAAGAAGTCAAGGTTGATTTCTGGCCTCCACATGTGTGATTGCATGTGCACACATACTACATTTGTCCTCTCTCACACACAAACTCTTTCTTCAATGCCTCTTCTTCAACCATTTTTCGCTAGTCAAACTCATTACTCAGACCCAGACAAGCACTCACTCTCTTTCACACAATACTGTAGAAGCTAACCAAGTGTGTTCTCTCTGAGTGCTTTAAATCATCCTTTTTGTTCGAAGATGGAAGGGGAGGGTATATATAGTTTTCCTCTTCTGTCTTCATAAACTTTTGAGAAATAACTATATAACTGTATTCCTAAGAGAAGTCTAAAAATTGTGACTTTTTTGAAATACAATCATAAAGCTCCACCCCGTTCTTATCTCAGCACTAAGTATTCTGGGAGTGATTAACATCTGGATTCAGCAGACCCTACCGAATAAAGGAAAAACAACAGCTGTCAGTCAAAACATGTACACCGAACTGACCATCGGATCGAACCTTTTAAGTGGCATGCTGTACCATAGAGGATAAATACATAACTGCCGATTAAAGGAAGACCTTGGAGTATATTGCTCTTTTAATTATTCCCCATGTGGCATGAGCTGCTACGTGCTTTTGGAACTTCTAAAGTAAATCTACTTCAGTATGTAAGTTTTAGAGAGATTGGAGGCAGCAGTTGACTCTGATGGTCACCAGAGAATGCAATGTAAGTAGATTTGATTTTATCTTTTAAAAGGTCCCAGAGCTGGCTGTGGTGGCACACAGCTTTAATCCCAAAATAAAATATGACTTTAGACACTATATGTTTGTTTATGGGTGAAAAAGATCCAACCTTTCATTCCTACCCAAGAGTATAGTGGTACCATTGGCAACTTGTGGAGGAGCATCCTACAGTCCATGGCATGTGACAGACAGCAAGAGCCACCACTGGGTCAACAGAGCATTGATCTTTTGCCAAAGGCTCCAGAAGAGAATTTCAAATGCACCATAATGCACTATTATTTGGGATTTCCTTCCCTGTGTTGATTGGCACTCCTTCGGCTCTTTACCAGTCTATTTTGCCTTTTATTAAGAAGTCCAGTATAGCTCCAAAAGAGATAGCCATTGGGTTTAGCCCCAGAGGGAGGGGATGTTGCAGAGTGAAGAACCTGTTCTTGTTACACAGGATCTACCATCCAGAAGTGGGCAGGTTGGTGAAGTTGGGTCCCAAAGCCTGGAATGCTAGTTTATTGAAGTGTCTTCTAGAATGGGGAGGTGCTATGGGGGGGGGGGCGGGGACTCCTACTCTTTAGATTTCCTAGCTGTTTAAAAAAACTCTTCCCCTAATATAAGGCTCTTATACAGCAAATGGGATTTGCTTCCCAGATCCGGAATTCCCTTCTGGTGAACTATTGCATGTGGTCTGATTTATGGCTGAAAAGAGAAAGAACACTTTTTTTTCCTCTCGCTTCAGTGTTTAACGTGTTCTTTTGTCCCAGTTTTCTTATAATTTCTCCATCTTTCTTCACAGTTGTAGTATTATTTAGTGTTCCCATAGCCAAGTGATCGCTTTTAGTAGTTATACAGCAAATCACACATACAGCACGAGCCAGTCCTTAGCCAAAAAAAAAGAAAAGAAAAGAAAAATGGAAAAACGTTTCCATACCCATAATCTTTCTTTAATGAAACTCCACTGTGTCATGTGATTTCATCTGCTGTCTGATTTTTTTTTTCAAGACAAGGTTTCGCTGTAGCTTTGGAACCTGTCCTGGAACTCGCTCTGTAGACCAGGCTGGCCTAGAACTCACAGAGATCTGCCTGCCTCTGCCTCCTGAGTGCTGTCCCGGCTTGCTCTCTGATTTTAAACTGGAGACTGACTATACCAGACTCATTTAGGGGAGGGCATCACAAGGTCTCCTGCATTAATGATTTGACATGCAGTTGAACTTGGCATGTAAATGTAATATGGTGTTTGCTAGAGTTATCTTCCCCACTCCATGAAAATAAATAATATAACAAGTGCTTTGGAAAATGCTCTTTGAATCTACTGATCTTTACTTGAACATTTTGTTTACTTCGTAAAGGTCTATTCTACCTTGGGATTTTCTTTTGTGTTCTGTAGAGCACATATTCTAATACAGAAAACCTCACTTAGTTTGATATCTGACATCATAATCCCAGACACATGTTAAATGCTCAGTATCTACATTGACACTTTAGCTTTCTACATTCACTCCACCGGGACATTGCTAGCTCTTAAGAATAATGTTCAACATACCAAGTACTATTCTGTAATTCTCCTTTCCTTCCCCTCCATCTGCCTCTCTCTCCTTCCTTTCCCGCCTTCTTTCCACTCTCCTCTCTCATTAGTATTATTTTGTAAGCAGGGTCTCACCCTTTTCTCCGGGCTGACTTTTACTTGCTGTCCTTCTGCCTCAGTGTCCTAAGTCTGCGATCTGAGGCATGCTCTAACACATCTAGCTGTATTGTGGGTTTTTATAAGTCATTTACATAACTTATGTATCTCTTAAGATCCGGCCATTTAGCAGCCTCTCTAATGTGGACTGGAACTAAAAACGAAGAAGAAAATAAGCACAGCCTAAGAATAGACTTGCCTGTCTTCTGTTTAGGATGACAGGAAGCCGTGACACATCTGGGAAATCATAGTGACACAGTGTCTGATAAGGTGCAGTACTGGAATCAAATGCGGGAAGGTGGCTGTCAGCAGGTTGTTTAATCTCTGCCTGCAGTTTGCTTATCTCTACAATGTGAGAGCAGCATCGCTGGTGTTAGGCTAAGCCCCTTTCAGTGCAGACTTCTGTGATCCTATGACTTGGGCTCCCTTCCTCCTTGAGGCCTGCTTGTTCATCTGTAAAACGAGAGGTGAATGACTATCAAAGTCCTAACAATGTGTGACTCCAAAGGAATGAACTTTTAGCTAGCCAGAAAATCTAGTTATCCAGAGAGGCCATTCCTCTAGGATATTGGTTAGCCAGAATTTTACTGTACATTAATACACAGTTAAATAGACTAATTTAATGCTTAGGAAAACATTTGGGAATGGTTAGAACTGTGGAAAAGTCCTAACTCTTTGTAGAGAATGTTGATTTTAGTGTATACAATTACCATCTTGTTGCATGCTTTTCCCCCTTTACGCTGGTATTCTGTTGAGAATAAGCCAGAGAAGGGTGTGTGTGTGTGTGTGTGTGCGCGTGCATGCATGCGTGTGTGTGTGTGTGTGTGTGTGTGTGTGTACCCAGATGTGCACCCACATGCACCAGATAGACAGCACCATCCTGTTCCTGTTCCTAAGGGCACTGTTGATAAGTGATATCCAGAGCAACACATCAGAGCAGGTGACATACATTGCCAGCCACCCTGCATCCCAGTATTTGCTCCCTGCTATAGTATCTGCTTCTTCTAAAAGTCTATGCTTGAAGAACTAGTTGCTGATGAGAGTAAAGAATGCACTAATCCTCTGATAAAGGCTCCAAAAGAGAAGAGGGCAGAGGGAGTAAGCCAGGAACTTTGAGTTAGCTGCCAGCATATGATACCTAGCTGGGATCCTTTCTTACTATTGATGGACATGAAGAATGGGATGGAATTGGCTCTTGCATGACCCTAAGCAGTTTCATCCGCCTCAACAAGAAAGATGACAGTAAATGCCGTTTCTCTCAGAGGGTGGCTAGCCTAGTCTGATTTGAGTAGTGATTTTATCTTTGCTGTTTGACTCCTATAGGGTCTCCCGGTTTCTGCTTAGTGTCCACCCCTTCTAAATTCTGGCCATATGCACACACTCCTATGCCACATTACTGTCCTAGGTTCCTCCACCTTATTCTAAGAAAATACAGGTGCTGTGTGCCTGCTTGTCGGTTCCATTGGCGTCCCTGAGATGATCTTCATTTCCTTTCCTTCTCCACTGAAATTCAATAACTTTCTCATAACTTAGCAGAAGCCTCATCACTTTGATTATATGTCACAAGAGCACTCCATACTTGACTGTCCACAGACCCTGTAGTTTTCACCTTCTGCATGGCTTTTAGATGTTGAACAAAGTATACACGAAGTATCCTTGGGAAATATACTTGGAGGTTAACGTGCAAAGGGCCGTCTTGGAATCAGTATTTGAATACAAGTTGTACCTATGTCTCAGTCTGGTACTGAAAAGCAGGGATTGCAACAAGGTCTTGAGTTCTACCGTCAGCAGCCCTAAACTAAGAACAGAACTCAACATTGCTCTCACTCCCCCCACTCCAGCTTTCCGGCACCCGTCTTCCACTTGTCTAATTCTTACTCTAATCCACTTCCACTGGAGTCAAGCCTCCTAATTGAGAACACTATTAACTCATCCTGAAGTTCCCGGATGATCCTCCAATGTCAGTTGTGTCTCCTTTAACCCAACAGTGGCTTTCTTTTTTTGGTCTTGTCACACATTAGGTGAACCCCACAGCCCAGTGCACGGAAGCGCTGCTGAAGATGACCTACTGTTCCCACTGCCGGGGCCTGGTGTCTGTGAAGCCCTGTTACAACTACTGCTCTAACATCATGAGAGGCTGTTTGGCCAACCAAGGAGAACTTGATTTCGAGTGGAACAATTTCATAGGTGAGCGCGCGATTGATGTATTTGTTTTACTAGCGATGACTCCGCTTCTTGCCACAAGGACTGTTGTAATTGCCAGCTCTGAGATTTTTCCTTTCGTTTTAATGTGAAATGTTTGGCAGAGTTCTGGCTTTGCTGTGCTCAGTACTTTGAGGTAGTAAAATCAGCACTGCCAGTCAGTGTCCTCTTGAACTAATGGTGGCATTGCAGAAGACAGTTAGATGCACCGGCTTTGAATGCAGCGGGAGGTATCTTTTTGATATTTCCTGTGAAATTCTCAGGTTTAGTACTCATCCTGGGTCTGTTCATGTTCACTCTGATGTACAGTCTTCACAGAGCTATGAAAGTAGCTTTGAAGATTCTCTCTTGGGTTGGGCAGGTGGCTCCGTTGGTAAAGTGCTTGTTTTGCTAGAACAAGGGCCTATGTTTGATCTCCACAATCAGAAAAAAAAGCTAGGAGTGGTGGGGTACCGGTAATCCTACGGCTTGGGAGGTAGAGACAATTAGCCTAGCATAAGTTCTGTGCTTCAGGCCAGTGAGAGACCCTTTATCAAAATAATAATAATAATAATAATAATAATAATAATAATAATAATAATAATAATAATAATAATAAT